ACTCACTGTATTTGCATTCTCAATTGCTTTTACCTAGGAACGTACTTCTCACACCGGGAAGTCTAGACCTCTATGGTTGTTTCTTTTAAATTTAATTATGGATATGATCTCTAAAAACGGAGACAGATAACCACCATACGGGACAAGGCGCATTACCATTGTCTCCCTGACTGAAGGCCGTTGTAAGGGCAAAAAAACCCCAACCAGTAACACTGAATAACTACTGACTGATTAGAAGACAATATAATTTTCTGACAGCAAAAATTCACTTAACCCCAGAATGAATGTAAAAGGATGTACTCAAGACCAAAACAGTCCCATGTGAATTACACTTAAGATTTGAGGAAATTATTTGATAGCATGTGGGTCCTGTTAGGTCCAGAGAAGGCAAGTACTTACTATTTCATTCCCTTCTGCTTTCTACACGTTTTCTGTATAACACTGATATAAACCAGGTATCTCAAACTCCACACAAGGTATGGTTCTATAGTTCAGTATGATAACATTTTCTAGCGATCAGGGCTATGAGGTTAACACCAGAACAGCAAAATTTTCTAAAGAGGAGCAATGGAAACACAGAGAATATGGTCAAAATGGAAATACAAATGTTCTCTTCCCACCTCTTAGTTTTTCATGGCAGCCTTGAGAATCAGGGATGCAATGGTAAGTATGAGGTGGGCAACTGATCTGTCTCACCTGGATTAATTTCAGTCACACACTCCAGTAGTTACCTTTGTCCTTCCAGCTATGTCAGCCTTCTCTGTCCTCACCACCAGCTACAGCCTTTAGACAAGAAATATACTCCCCTGAACTCCAAATCCGAAACACTCAGACCCATTAAAGGTTTCCCCTTTTCTTCTATTAAGAACAAAGAACACATTACATTTTTCTATGTGAAGTATGCTATTAAATAATAGCTTGTACACTAATTAAAGCAAATGTAATTGTGAGAACACACTGACATTGTTAAAGTAAATTACCCAATTTGTTAATAGTTTCATTTCAAGTGACCTTAATTGTATTAATTGTGATATTGAGCAAATTAAATTGAAGAGTATTAAATGCATTGTTCCAGTCTGTCCTTAGAGGATCAACTTTCTCATTACATCAATGAAATGGGAATACTACCTACTATGCTCTTTAAAACTTGTGTCAGAATGTGGTGAACGCTGTAACTTAGAAAAAAATTTATGGCAGCTCAGAAACAGTTAACCTAATTATCCCATTTCAATGTAATATAAACTTCAAGCATTTGGAAATGAACAAAATAGCTTGTCAGATGCAAAACACAGTGAGGAGGTAGAAGAGCAAAGTTTCTGAAATTTCTCTTCATACATTCGGGTTTATAAAGCCTCTGCTGGAGACAAAACCCATGATATTCATCAGTTTCTCTGATAAAGGTCCATATTTCAGAGGGAACAACTCAAAAATATTGTTAGAATAAAATGAACAGTATCACCAAGATTTTTAGAACAGAAAATGTAGCAAGATACCATCAACTTACTGTAGTCAAAACCAAACATAACAACACACAGATATACATGAATGTCAATTAAAATACAACCAGATAAAAATTTTTAAAATTTCTTAAAAGAACAAAAATCTTCCATTTGAAGTATCAGATTACAAAAGTGAGAATCCCTGCCACAAATTTCTTACCAACTATCAAAAATGCTATTTAAAAAAAAGCATACATAAGTACATATGTGCAATGCACATTTTTCTATCTTAAAAAAAAAAAAATCAGATGCAAGGAAAATAACATAGGCCAAATCAACCATCAGAAAAAAGACTGAAATACTATCTTACCTGTTTTTTTGGAATAAGTTTAAAGAGATAGAAAAAAGATCTTGACTGTCAATAAGTTAACAGCCTATCCTGAATTTTGTAAACTTGCAAACAAGCACATTCTCATGACTCTCAACAACTCAAGATTCAAAGTTCCTTAGTTACACAAAACTTGGAATGCTAAGAACGCCCAGATCTTTCTCTAAATGACACTTACCTCATCTTTTATGCTCTACTTTTATTTGTTCAGCTAGGTAATTGTCTCCTGCCTAGCGTTTGCAAATGGAACCTCGCAGCTGCTCCTAGTGAAGCATGTCTTATTCTTCTCAGGCCACTTCTCCAAAATCTCAAGAATACTTTGAATTGTACATCTGCCCTCCATTGTGCTAACAGCCCTGTCCCAAATAAACCATGTTTTCTTTCTATACCTTTACTGAGATTTTATTAAAAGCACTGAGTACTACTAGACTTAACCAACAGATTTCTGAAATCCCATCCAATATATCCCTCCCAGTTGACAGCAAATGAACAAAAAGCAGTCTATGCATGCAGCTTTCCAAGCAGCTATACTTAACAGCAATCCATGTATTTCTGAAATTTCTTTCATTTTATGAAAATGCCTTGTGAGAGAATTTCAAAACTCCAGCTGGACATGACATCTCCTGGTTCTCCATCAAGTTTTGGTATAAGTTGCACATACTAAAAATACAATACTTCATGTAGATTAACAAATCTGACTAGCTCTATGATTAAATATTTATTTTCAGCATCCTTGTCAGTGATGTGCTTTATTTTTATTACCTCACTCAGTGAAGACTTCTATCACTTTGCCTCCAAGGTAATACTTTAAGAATTCAGCACAGCTTCAAAAAACAATTCAGATGTCCCGATATTCCACAATATTGCATAGAACATCGCCAACTGATGGACCACCTCTCTTGCAAATTTCTATGATACACGACACAGAAGACCTGAAGATACAGATTTTTACCAAATGATTCCATATCAGGCCTGAAACTTGAGGCCGAGTTGAAAAACCTTGTCTTGAAATACTTCTGTGAAGACAATGATGGACAGACTGCACAGATGCCCAAAATGATGGACAGACTGCACAGATACTTTGATGCCCAAAAACCTAATACCATGTAATCCTATGCTTTATTAAAAATGAAATATTAAAACTTCAAAGACTTATTTTGGATATATAAAGTTTCAAATTAAAATGCAGTATGTGTTTCACAGTAAAAAAAACCTATGAAGATGAAATGGATGCTTTATATAAAATATTTACATAGATAGAACATAAAAAATGTACCATAGTTGGTAACCTTTATGACTTGGGGAACCATGTATTTACATATCTTTATCTTCGCATGTGCGTATGTGTGTGTTGTGTATATATTTTTAACAGTTGACAGCTGTTTTAGAGCATACAGAGATGCCAAGCTGAATGAGGGTCTTGATTACTTCAAGATTAGCTATCTAAAGTTTCTATTCATTTTAAGTGTTGTTAGTGCGAAGAGTCATTAGTCACTTCCTTGTCTCATAGAACATCAGCATACATTTACATTGTTAATGAACATTTGGGGTAAATGAATTAATGGCACTTTTAAACATCAATTCAATACTAATAACTTTGTATGTCATAGAAATGTTAAGGTTGGGATAAAAATGAGAAACCTTTTCAGTCAAGGTAACTAATCGCTTCTGGGCACAATAAAGGGTAAAATTAATTTATAGTGTTTTTTTAACAGGGTTAATATCTTGATTTTTCTTGAAATGGAGTTGAGAGAATTACCAGTATTTTTTAAGGAAAAAAATCAGAAGAAAATGCTTATCTTTTTCTTGATTGGGTAGACTAGAAGCAAGCTATATTTCCTGTGGAAAATGGTTATTATTTTAGGTTATAGCAATAGATTATTTTCAAGTTTCTAAAAATATGCACAAAAATGTATTTAGTTTATCAAACTAAAAAGGCTCCATATCGTTAAGATGTCAAATATAATAGAGGAGGAACACTGACCTAGAAAAGCTATTTCATTTAATCGTCAGGTTTTAAAATACTTCCCCCTAGATTTTCATTCTCATTTTCTAACATTGAAAAAGCTTTATAAACCAATGAAGAAAAAAATGAAAAAAAAAAATTAGCTCAAAGGGACAATGAAGTTTTACCAATATATTTTAAAGCAAAACATCAGCTTCTTATAAACTGAAGTAATAAACCTGACTAAGCAAAACTTGACATAGCTTTTTTAATAAGCACTTGTAAACAGAAGATTTATAGAGAGATACACCCACACAGACTAGTTGATGATCTGGGTGAGGGACTTAGGAAATGTGACAAAGTTGTTTCAACTCTTTAATTTAAAATAAATTTTTTATTTTGCCCTCCTGGTACATGTGTTCAATGACTGGAAAATTACAGGTAGTTAAGGTGCCACTGTGTATAACTGAGCACTTGAGGAATGTTTTCATGACAAGGACGAGCTTTCTCGTTAAGCTTATCACTTTCTTCGAACTAAGGATACTGTCACTACTAGCAAATAAGTAGAAAAGACAAGCAACACAGACATGCATTGCATTATGCAAGCAGTTTGTTCTCACTGTTCATTAGAGTCTTCCAAATACTGCATTTAATTAATTTACTTTAGGTTACATAGTAATTTCTACCTTTAGAGCCTGTTCATTCTATCTCAACTTCCCGGGTTTGTTTTTTTTTTTCCAAATAAGAACATAGGTGTTGAGTCAAACAAACAAAAAAAAAGGGAAATCAGCCTTTTTATTTGCATAAGCTCATCGAAAAATAACATCCTGAACTTTATTGCAGAATTAAAAAAAAAACCCACAAAACCAACCAGAAAAAAATATTCCCTAAAACCAAAGCAGTGTAAGAGCCCATACTTGAGAAAGTAACACAAAGCCATGCTGCATTTCAATATTCTTATGCTGAAGTCAGTATTTGGTTTATGATTTAAAAAGGATGACAGCGCATTAAACATTTGGCTAATGTTTCTGTCCGTAATTGAAAGTTGACTTTTCGTGGTTTTCATTAGTGTCAGTGTTCTACCCATACTCTGTGAAATGTTCTTTAAGTTGCCCTGTTCAACTTCATTGAGAGAATTAAACAAATTATGACAGCTATAGTTATCGTGACACACTTATATAAGGTTTCTAGGTAAAAAGTCAGAAAAGTACAGAAATGTAAAACTCACCTTCCCCGGGCTTGTTCAAATAACCCTGCAAGGGATCGACACCTATTTCTTGTTCTTCTGTTTGCAAAGGGTGACTGGTTTCAGACACAGAATGATACATATTGGCAATAGTAAATTCCAACCGAAGGCTATTTATCTGGAGGAAAAAAACAGAGAAACAAACACCTCAGTGTTTCTTTAGCTATTTTTCAATCACACAAGTCAATAGCAAAAATGCTTAAAACCTTTCCTTATTTTCCAGGCGTAACATCACCATTAGATGGCTAATAGCAGAACAACAGTGTTTCCATTCAAATGTTTTATTATTTGGAGTTGATAAGAATTGTTTGAGCACCTCCAGCTATCACACTGCAAGTAAAAGTCCAAGTGTGGCTTTGACAGACTGTAAAGTGGGGCAGGAGCCTCTTTCCTTCTTTTTTTCTAGCTTCCCCAACTCGTCTTTTAGCCTGATTCCACACAGAACTGATGATAGTCCTTGGGGATGATGGAGGTTACAGAGCAAAGCTGAGGTGAGACCCATCATCACTCTTCTGGGGTCTGCACCTCTCATCCTAGAAACACTTCCTTTTAACCAATACTTTTTCAGAAATCATAGGTCAAGTATCAGACAACAGAGAGAGGGATGCAGAACATGCAAAAAAGAGAGTATGAGGTAATTCTGACTGGTATGATGGCTGATTTTGGTTTTATCAAGATTTATATTAGCTTTCGAGAAAGATGATGTTAAAGAAGCATTTGAAGAAACATAATCAGCTAGCTAGTGAATATTTACAAAGAAGTTATTCCAAAAATGAAGGGCAAAAGGGGAGAAAGTGTTGGAAGCTAATATCCATTGCGACAAATAACAGGATGTCAATAAAAGGGTGAAAAGCAGATGATGGTATGGTAAGAACAGTAAGAAGGAAAAACGACCTTTCTAGTGCATTAGAAGCGCAAGAGTACATTTGTTGAGACTGCATTTTGGTCAGTGTACCGCAATTTATTAACAGCTTGAAATAGATGTAGCTAACTTGCAACATAAAAGAACTACGCCAGCCATACAGGTTTGATTTGCCCAAGCACACCAAGTAGCTACCTACGACTGCCGTCTGAGTTTTAACCATCATTTACTGTAACTGCTTAGTTTCAAGTATCTCAGCTTTCTGATTCCAGGAAAATTCTATTTTAAAAGAAATATACAAAAACAAACACAAAGAGGAACAGAATAGAATGCACCCATACTTTCAGGATTGGCACATTATCAATTCAGAAATCACTAATTACACTTTTCCTTTGTTTTTTACAAGGCATGGCTTTGACCATTACATGTTTTATACCTTCAGTTTACTGTCAATACATGAAAAGGGACTAGGATTCTTAAGACCTTTCCAGTTTTATATACTATCCATCCACTTCATTTTCCCACTAAGTTATGTGGAAAAAAAACCCCAACTAAATAATAAAAAAAGCTAGTTGTGCCACTGTCAGGTATTTCCTTCAAACCAATGCACCCAGACCATTCCCGAAAGGCTGGTGTCTCAGCTGTATTCCCTGAGGGTTTTGTCCTTTATTTGTCCCGGCACCTGTGTTACTGTGATGCTGAAATGATCACACCATCATCTCTTGCTGCTTTTTAGCTAGAAGGGAACATCTGAAGCTCTTGGGGAAAACACAGCCAGGAACTGAGGGTCGGACTGCCCACTTTTGCAGTGGTACACCTTTATGCCAAATTATTGCAATCTTATAATCATCTGATGAAACACATCACTAAAACACAGCCTTGAACAAACAGAATTGCCTTGAACAACTCTGTACTAGCTCAACAAAACATATTGGGATTGCAAGTAGACATGATGTGTTTCCTATGTAATTTATAAACCATAATCATGAAAAATACATGAATGGTTAACTTGGAGAAAAACATTTATAAACTTGCTAGCCACTTAAATAACATTTCAATGTTTACCTGCAGTCTTATGGCTACACAATACAGAGAAATGTTTATAACTACCTGATATCTTAGATAAATAAATTAAATACTTGAAAGAATTCACATTAAAAAACCCCAAACAACAACTTTGCCAAAAGAGATGTTTATCATTTTCTCCTGCTGGAATGTTAGTTGCTGCTCTGGTTCTCTTTGCTATATCATTTTAATTACCTTTCTACTGATCTGTTGATTTTGTCTTCAGAAAAATTACAAGCTTGTTTTGAACTGTGCTGCCAGCATTTAACTTTTTATTTTTATGGTCCTTCAGACATTGCTACACGACCTGACCAAGGCACAACCCCGAGCGCCTTTCAAACCGAGAACCAGGCACAAAATCACCTTACCAGCCTTCGCAGTTTTAGCAGCCACCACTTAGTTAAGGCACAATATGCTTCAGACATCTTGTCTCACATCCAGAACACGGTATGAAATTAGCTCTAGTAAGTTTGTCCTTCTCTATTCTTCTGTTCTTTATCCACCTTCTCTTTTTTTAAATACTCCTCAAATGCCACGCCTTTACAACGTCTAAGAGCCGTAATTTACTTTACTGTTAGAGCAGTTTTAAACCGCTGAATGGAATTCCTTTTGATACTTGCACAGTGATTTAATCAGTTACTTGTGTTTGTTTACGGATACATTTGATTAGTGTTAAAAAAAATATCACTACCTATTATTCTTGTCACTCCTTAGTCCAAGCAATTTTCTTTACAGTTTTATACTTAAGTTCTTTTCAGCTCTTCTAACAAAGAGCAAAGAGAACTATTAAACAATTATGATTACACTTGGGATCTTACTCTGAGAAAGATTAATTCTTTACAGGTTTGTGGTTGATTTGTAATGGCCTATAACATATTGTTCATATTAAATAAGATGCAATTTAAAAACATTCTCAATGTGAAACAATAAAAATGTTATAAACATCTGAAATTCAATTATTAGATTACAAGACATGAGACTGGCTATCTAGTTAAACCCTAACATCTCAGTCAAAGCTAAAAGTGACTCTTTTATCTATTCCTACCTTTTTTTCCCCTCCAAAGATGAAGGGCTACAAAACCCAAAGCCCAGGCACCCTTCCCAGCACTGGGAGTTCAGCTATTCTTTAATATACATGAAAAAATAATTAAGGCTGCATATGAAACATTTATCTACTTAGAGGAATGAAAAGAGATGCTAATCCACCCATGAGCCCAAGTAAAAGGCAGATAAAACTTCTCG